ATATCTTTTTTATTTAAACAAATTTCATTAACACTTAGATTGCCATAATAAATAAAATTTATATCATGTAAAGAGTTTTTGTTGTTTTATTTAGTTTTTTTTTTTTTTTTTTTTTTTTAATAATATATCTCTAGATTAATTAGTAACATATTAATATTAAGCTTAATTAAGTCGTTTTATTAGTTGAATTAAAAAAAAAAAAAATGATAAAATCTTTACTTTTTTTTCATCTACACAAAAATCATGAATACTGTTTTTAAAGACAATAATAATAATAATAATAATAATATCATCACGCAAACACACACATAAAATTCAAATATTTTTTTCTTAAATTAAAAATTTTACATATATTGGGTTTTTGTTTTTATGAAAAAAAAAAAAGAAAATCTTGTTTTTAATCTATGAGTATAAAGATCAACATTACGTTAGAAAATTTACTTTAATGCTCTTCGTGAATGAAATTTCAATTTAAGTACTTGCGACATTTTTTCGAACCACACGTACACGGTATTTTCTCTTCTTCAAATGGAAATTTATAATCGTAGGTTAATTCCTCACCCTGTACAATACGTCTCAAAGCAAAAATGATTATATGCTTATGACCCAATATATCAACTACTTTGGAATAACAATTTGGCTGTAAAATAAAATTACAATTTTATTGAATAAAATTTTCCTATCTATCTCTCTCTCTCTCTCTCTCTCTCTTTGAGTCTTTTTACTTCAAGTTTCCTTACCTCACATGAATGGTTTATGAAACGAGCAGCATTACCGCGCATTGTTGCGTCCACTACTAGATTTTCATCGATTTTAAACATATAACAGCCGATACCACGACTATTATAATATCGTTCACGTTGATCGGTTAGAGTCGAACGTATCAATTCACCAGCGTACTCAATAACCATTTCACCTAAAAAACAACCAAATTTTAATCAAAATTTTAAAATTGCCAATCAGAAATACAACTTTCTTGGCAAAAATCAAGAAACAACATTTGTTCTCACGTCTCAGCAACACTTCTGTGGCTCTAAAAAAACGTGAAATAAGTCTAACCTAATCTAATTAACGATACCCAATATTTTGAACAATCCCAATTAACATATAAAAAACACTATAGTATGTCGCGACTCACCATTAAATACTTTACATTGTTTCACAGTTACTCATATATGCAAATTGGTCGAAAAAGTGGTCCGATCCAAGCTATTTTTAACAGCTTTCGTATTTGTACTAAACACACGTCAGTGTATCAAATTTCGCTAAAATATTTCAAAAATTTTGCGGTTTATTCGTTGAACGCAAGAAAACATGATGATCAGATGGACGGACAAGCTTAGAAAGATTTCAAACGAGAAGGTGTATCTATTTCAATTCTTTCTGAGTATTACATACATTCGTACAAACTTAATATATACTTGTATCAAGTGGTGTTTTCTGCCCTATGATCAGCAAAGTGTTGCAATATTTTTTTTCCAACCCATTACTTATAATCAAAACTACCCATCAAGACCCGTTTGGCTAACACACAATGTCATTATAATGTCTGTATATGCAAGCCTAATCAAATTCTAATTTATAATGCTCTTCTTTCCCATCTTTGACGCTATTCAAGTAATAGGAGCTTACCGGCTTCAATATCTTTAGTACAATAGAGGCCACGTCCATGTATATGCGAACGAAAGACACCCACATAATCTTTGTAGGTTTCCTTCAAAGTACGATATTTCATGGCCATAGGAAGGTTACTACCCGTACCGCGCCTATGCATAATAAGAAAAATTTAAATAAACTTGAAAAAGTGTAACTTTATCATCATTTACCTCGGCACTAATTCCGTATCGGATGGTTGCAAAAAAACTTGTACCGGCTGTTTGCGATGTCGCGAAGCTAGCCAACTGAACATATCGTAATCGGAACGTGTTGAATACGGTTCACATCTTGCGCACTCGTATGGATTTTCTGTTAACTCTTCCTGATCGGAAGTGTAATCCAGACTGCTACTGTCAATGTCGAGCGAACCAACTAAAGCAGCATTAACCGTTGAACTGCCCAAGTTTACAGAATTGCTGTACGTTGTTGTTGTTGTCGTAGAATTAGTAAAATTTTCGCTGGTGCGCCTATGATACTTTGGAGTATATTTGGTGCATTTCTCTACACCCGGCAATTGTTCAATAAGATATTTGAGAGCATTCGTTTTTAGTCCGATCATTTGTGTACCGCTCATATCGGCTAGAGGGCCTTCGGGTAATGGGGCTAAACCATGAGCGCGGCGTGCTACTTGCACTGCTTCGAACACCTTTTCCCAAATCTCCGTGATCGAAGTGGATTTATATGTAAAACCGTCTTCACTTTGTATTTCATACAGTAAATGAGGTCCCGTTATTCTTTTGGGATCTTTAGAGGGTGGTTGGGATGGTGGAGGCTGAACAACTGTAGCAGGTAGAGAAGACAACGTATTCAGGTTGGCATTGGCATTTGGCGATGTTGTTAACCCGTTATCAGATGGAAGAGTTGGAGAGCAATTACCTGCTAAATGCGTCGTCGATAGCTTAGGTTCGGTTAATGAAGTCGCTAATTTATTGGGTAATTTTTCGGTCAATTCATATGTAGCTTCTTTTAACTCTGCCTGTATATTATTCGCCATTTGAACAGCAATAAATACGCCGGCGTCCTCCGTTGCGTTATGATAATAGGGCGTTGTTGTTTGTGCTGCTAATTGCTGCTGCTGCTGCTGAGTGGGGGAGGTAACATTTTCTACAGATGCCTCTAAGTCAGCAAAACCATGTTGGCATGCGTTTAAATGAACTTCAAGTGTACTGGCTGTGGCAAGAGAATCGGTGCAATCTTCGTTCGTAAGATTATCCAAAATCTTACTAATTTTAGCTTTCACTGCCGGTTCATCGCTATCAACAGACAACTCATCGTTCGTATCAACCGATGAAGGCATTTTCAAACTAAATGTATCCTCTTCCTCTTCTTCATCCATATTATGAGTCTTAACGTGAACGTTTTGATTTAAGTCATCCGCATTCATGCGGATGACTTCATCATCTTCGGGAGGAAATTTCGGATCCGTTATAAGACATTCATTGACCACAGTATTAGACACAAAATCTAATGTACTCCGTTGTTGTTCTTGCTGTTCAGAAATTTTATTTGTGGCCTTTTCTACCATGTCCGGGATATTATAAGCCAAAGGCGGAGGTGGCACAGATGAAGGTACTGAACTCTTTATAAAATTTGCTTGCAATGATTGCTGATTATGCAAAACAGTTGGCTGCTGTTGCTGTTGCTGTTGTTCTGGCTGTTGTAATCGATTACTATTGCTGTTGATATTTCCCTCCATACCGCTCGGTATAGGCGAATGTAAAAGTATCTGTTTAACTTCTGCTTCGTAAGCAATTTTGTTTTCGTTACCAGCGACTTTTATATTTCCTGCTGTTCCATTTTCTACTATCGCTATTGCTGGAGGCATACCTGATGTTAGATGGCCTATTCCGAGCGATGAGCAACCGTTAAGATTGTTGCTCGCATTTTGCTGTTCATATTGCCTTTGCTGCATGGGCAGCACCCGATTAGTAGGTCTGGTTGTTACCGTCGTAGTTGTCGTTGTTGTTGTCGTTGAATTCACTGTAGTTGTTGTGATGTTACTGTTATGATTGTTATATTGCTGCAAAGGGTTGACGATATTAACGTTACTATATGTTGGCATCCGCTGTATGGTCGGCAATACTTGGGTACTTATATCTGTTGGCGCTTGCTGTTGTTGTTGCTGCTGCTGCTGTTGCTGTTGCTGTTGTTGTTCGAAATTGTTCGAATTAAAACTGCAATGTGATAGTTGTTGCGGTACCTGTGGTTGAGAATTTTCATCTAACAGCAGCAGTGCATCGGCTACATTGTAATGTTGTTGATTCGTTTGATTGATTTGTTGTAGACTTACGTAGTCGATCAGCTGTTGATGGTTTTTGTTATTGCTGTGCCCGGTATACTGCTGCGGTTGTTCCTGATGAGCAATAGAAACTGTGATTTGCTGCTGCTGTTGTGGTGTCGCCTGTGATGTTGTTATAATGACTTGCTGTTGAGGCAAACTAGATTGTTGCCCCAAGATGGGTGTCGCGCCAGAATTTTGTTGTTGTTGTTGTTGTGGCTTTAACAAGGCCATTCTATTATTGACCTGTTGGTTGGCGGGCGGCGTTGGTAAGGCATTGCTTGTGACCGTCGGTGTAGGTTTGGTTACTACTGTAGCGGCCGCTCTCATCATCTTCGGTTTCACTTCCAGTTTATGTAGTGGACGTATCATATTGGTTTTTTTAACAGCGTTGGTTGCAGTTGACTGTGATTTCCCGGTGATTGCTGTTGGGTTTGGTTGTTGCGCAGTAGCATTTACGGTTTTATTAAGGAGAAGCTGTTGTTGTTGGGTTTGTTTGATTTTTTGTTGTGATTGTTGCTGTGGCACAGTAACTATCGCACTATTGGGCATAACTTTGTTAACCACTTGCGGTTGAACTTTGGAAACTGTAACCACCGATGGCGTTGTCTTAACACGTTTGACTTGAGCTAGAGTTGGAGCTATTTTTGCGCTCACCAATTGCACATTGGCAGCTTCCAAAAACTGCTGTGACGGTGTCGTCTGTTGTTGCGATTGCTGAGTGACAACAAGCTGGGGCGTCTGTATTGGAAACGCTGTACTAGGCCCGGTTGTGTTGGTTGTCGTAACCGGGGGAGTCTGTATGCGAAACACTTGCTGCTGCTGCTGCTGCTGTTGTTGTTGTTGTTGTTGTTGTTGTTGTTGTTCTGCTAAAGCTGCCTGTGCGGCTGCCTGTTGTTGCAAAGCTGCCTGGATAAAATTAGTTTGGCCTGCCTGGGCATTACTGGTTTGATTAGTTGTTTGCGTTTGCGGCTGCGCTTGTGCTTGTAATATGGCAGCCGCTCCATTAGCATCTACATTGTTAAGTAACACATACCCGGCTGGTATATCTACTATTGGTTCAATTTTACTCGCCTGAAATACTTGCGTGGTTGTGGCCGAAAAGCTGGCATTCTGACTGAGCACGCCTGGCATGGCAGTTGAAACAAATTGCTGCGATGACATCACAGTGTTTTGTACAATAGTCTCGAGCCCGTAGTACATCGGCTGCGTTGTGGTGGCCAAAATAACTTGTGGTGTTGCAGTCCCTGTCAACATTTCCAAGCCGTTCGTCCCCGAGGGTGTTCCCCCGCTGATAATAACTTGCTGTTGTTGAGCTTGTCCACCTTGACTCGCGGGCATCCCACCTTCGGCCGTTGATGTCGTCGTAGCCGTAATCACGTTGCCGCCGCCTAATAACGTTTGCGGTTGTATCAGTGTTCCTATAACCTGAGGATGCTGCGGTGTAGTTAAGAGTTGAGGGGTATTTGTTAGCACTAGATTACCGCTGGCATCCGCTTGCAGATAAGCGGTTTGTAACAATGGCTGGGCATTGTTCGTTGTAGTAAACAATGTGGAACCTTGTGCCTGCGGTTTAAAGTCTGCGGTGCTCGTACCTGCGGTAGGCAATGTAACATATTGGAGTTGTGGCTGCTGCGTACCTTCCGTAGATGTCGTGACGAAAGATATTATGTTCTGGGTGGCTGGCTGCTGCATTATAATCTGTGGTTGATTTGGTGCTGAAGCAGCTTGAAAAAGTAATTGGGGTGCAGTCGCCGTGTTTTGTTGTTGAGCTTGTTGCAACTGCTGTAGCAACTGTTGATTCAGTAGTTGTTGTGTGGCGCTATGAACTGGCGGCGTAGACTTTTGAATCTGCATTGGTTTTACAGCTGTTCCAGCTTTTAGTTTGCTCTTTGCTGCAGCGGTAGCCTGTTGAGCGGCTTTGGTAGCCATAGTTTTCATAGGTTTGCCTCCGCCTACCGGTAAAACAATCTTCTTATCTGTGTTGGTGGCCTGTAGTGTTTGATAAGTGGGAGCTGGCGCTGGGGTTGCAGCCGTTGCTGGCAATTGTATAATTTGCTGCGTTCCATCCGGATTAGTGGAGACTGCTATAAGTTGCGGCTGATTCTGTGTAACTGTTTGAGGTGTAGCGAATGTAAATCCCCCATTCAAATTTCCTTGCAATCCCTGCAAAGCATTCGTATACAAATGCAATTCATCGGCCGTATTATTTGGCTGAGCAGCTGAAATGAAAAAGTTTCCACTCAAGGCTTGCGGCTGAGTTAATTGTTGAAGTTGCTGTAAGCTCTGCAAATTCTGTAGACTGCCCACTCCCTGCAATTGCAATGGTAAGCCGCCAAGACTTGTTTGCAAACTACTTAACTGCGGAATACTCTGCGTTGTAGGTATAGTTTGTATAAAGGGCAACGACGTAGCCCGTTGACCGCCAAATTTTGCATTTAATTCCTGTAATTGCTCAACTGTAATCGCAGTCGTGGCCCCTGTTTGACTGCCTTCGGATTCCGATTCACTAGCAGACGAATTTAGAGGCTCACACGAAGCCAAATGACGTTGAAACGATTCATAGTTGCGATAATGACATTGGCAACGTTCGCATTTCATAGTAGCCGCCGTAGTAGATTCATTACTGATGAAACGATATTCGCTTATGGTGTCGTCAACACCATCTACTTGCATTAATTTAACCTTACTATCTGAGTTCAGATTGTAACGTTTCTCAGCACTCCAAGTAAAATCGTTACGCCTACTGACTGCTGCTACCACATCCTTTTTTTGGCTTCGTTGTTGATTTAGAGACAACAACATTCCCTCAGATATCTTACGTCTTTTAATAGCTGCCACACTATCACTGCTCATAACCAATGGAGACGAGGACTTCTTAAGTTTATTTAATCTAGCCTGGGCCTGCTGTGTAGCTGAGACGGTCGTTGTAGACAAGAGAGCATCTTCTACGTGATTAGCAGAGCTACACCAATTACTCATATCTACATTTAGTTGTTTACTGAACGCGCTTATGGAAGCCATAGTATCTTCGTCAGCAGATATCTGAGCACTGTTTGTTGCCGTGCTAATCGTGCCATCTTTCGATTGCTCGTTACCCAATTCCTCATAGTTCATACATTTATTGAAAATATCTAACATGGAAATACCATCAAGAAGTTCATGAGGCAAATCTTCGAATATAGCATCTTTAATTTCGGGCGGTAGGAGGTCAGCATTTGTTTGAGGTTCTTCATCCACTGCCATTGCAAAAGAGCTGCCGAAATAATCGTTGTCTTCCGTATCACCGCTACCTACGTATTCGCCTTTGGATAAGCTTGTATGCCAACGAGCAATTTGCGCCAAACCGAGTTGTATGAGGGCGCTATTCGTTTGCGTATGATCTACAGTGAAGTTGCGGCCAGGATCTAAAGTTCCGCCCGCGATCAACGAAGACGTACATGAGTTGTGAATGAGGGTGCGTACAGTATATTCAACTAAACGCCACGGCTCTTTCGATGACCAATACAAACGAGCACAAAGAAAGTTGACAGGTATCAAAGCTTCGCTAGAATCAGAAAATCGCGGTAATATATGACCCAATTGTTTCACTTCCAAAGAACCAATGTGAAACTGTACTTTCGATGGTTCAATCATCTTTTTACATTTTCTCTCCAACTCAACGTATACAGGTCGTGTAACCTCAAATTGCGTTTCGTACGATGCTGCCGTTTTAGACGCAGCGTGAGCGGGACAGTACATAGTTTTGTCGGCAAGAAAGGCACAAGAACGTAAGCGAGCACAAGGATAATGATAATGTTCACCGCAAGATTTCACATTACAACCCACGGTCGCCCCACGATTTCCACAAACGCCGCACTTGATCATACGTCCTCTGGCCACGGCCGCATGTACGTTTTGAAGAGAGCCATCAATCTCTTCGAAAACCTCCGCTGACCATAGTGCGCAATTCGTGTGAACCCAAGCATCGTGGCCACAGTAAAGCAGTCGAGCTTCCTCCTCAGGCATTCCTTCACCAACACGGCGACATAGCAAACATATTCTGGCATCTGGACGTATTTTCAAATTATACATCAATTCATCAAGGTCAGCTGGTAGATCGGCAATTAAGGCTGCATTACGTTCGCAATCATTATTATTATTATTGGTCTCCGATATGCGTACATCCATAGGATATTCTGACTCGTTGTCTAAAGATGTATTCAAACCGTAAGCAGCTCCCGCAGTTTCATACATATCTTCTTCGAGAGCATCGGTACAAGCTTGTGTTTCGTTTTGAAACCATGGAAATTGTTCACTGAGTATTTCCTTGTACGCTATTACGAGCTCATCGCAACTAGCCTGTTGAATCACTAAATTCATATCGTAGTTGAATTCCGCTAAAGTGACATAAGATCCCGCATGGATTTTCTGCTTAATCTCCACTAGACTGAGCTGAGAGCTATTCTGTTGTGCATTTTGGCAAACACATTTTTTGTAAATAGTTTCCGTTTGTCCTTTGTGATCGAATTCGCGCTCATGCTGATCATTGAATTCGTAAACGTCTACGCTGCTTTGCGAGTCTCCCTCTGGTACTGTAGAATTTATATTAAATTGGAGAGCTTTGGGTTGAATTTTACCATTGCTGCCCGCACCGCATGTGCAATGCAATTGCTTACGCGGACTAAGTTTGAGCAATGCACAGGCTTGACGTGATTTGCTAAGCAATTTCAATACGCTCATTAAACTTGTTTTAAACTCCTCCTTAACAGCATACCGCCATTCCGAAGCTCTGTTCTTAGCTTCTTGACTTTTTCGAGCACAACGCTTACATATGAATTCTATAGATTCGGGCAACGTACTCAATAAGTTATATTGTTCGTCAGTGAGCGCTTCGCACTTGGCATGAACCCATTGATGACAGTCGCCGCATTCCATCATTTTAAGATCAAAATCTTGATCGTCATAGCATTTCTGGCAAACCGGACAATAATTACCACGTTTTCGTAACTTAAAGCAACTGGTACACATGGGCAAATTACCCACAAATTTGGTGACCTTTGTGGTAGAACAAGACCGACACTTGAGGCAATTAACACAGATAAGTGGACGATCGGCACCCAATAAACGTTTGCTAGTGCCCAAACAAGTTGAATGATAATTTTTCTGGCATTTCTGGCAACGGACCTTTGCACCGGAAGACATGTTGCACGTGTAGCAAACTGTGCAACGCGGACATAGCCAATTCAAGCGAGCAATAGACGAGTTAGAATTGCCTCCGTTTAAGACACTGAGAGCACTTTCATTTAACAACAGCGTATCGTCGAGTGACCCATGCTTAAGATTGAATTCATCTTGTACGCAATATTGATGATACGGCTCACAACAGCAAGCGCAAAATAATAAAGGCTCTTGGCCGGCCGAACCACATAAGAAGCAAAGAGCTCTCTGCGCTACGGTTTCAGTGACAATAAGTCCAAAACCTGATTGGCAAACCTCAGCTGGGTCATAATTTTCCCAAAAATCAATTGAAATTAAAAGTTTATACTTAATCACGGCATCGCGACGTCGATGAGAGCCGTATGACAGATTAGAAGCATTAACCGTACTTGATGACTTCTTGAACGCGGCCAAATGAGTGGCGTAATGATTTGGTCGTGATGTAGTTTTAAAGACGGGCATTAATGCTTTATTTGTACTCTCCAGTTTTGGTACTTTCAGGGGGGGTTCAGAATTGCATTCCGTTGAATTCGTCGAAGCATTTGTAGTCTCTACGTTAGGCATTGTTGATAGTTTCGGTTTACAGGAGGCACAGTTATCATTTTCATCAGTGACAATTAGTTTCTTATTCGAAGTTGTTGTTGTGGAAGTTTCTTGACTCATTGACTCAGAAGTGGCGGCAGTGCCACCTTCCGTTTCGTCACCAAACAAAGCCAACGGTTGACCCAACACTATTGAAGCACTGCGACAAACGTGCTTAACACGTGGTCCTTTTAAATCGATACGTTGACGTTTCTCCGTTGTAGGTGACAACGATGAGATAACGTTGATATGAGAAGGACTGATGGTCGTTGTTGCGGTTGATACTGTGGTCACCGTATTTGTAGGTGAAATCACGTTTGTACACACTGTTGTTGTTGTTGTTGTTGTCGCTATTGATAAAGGTATTGCTGCTGATGGGGCATTAACCACAAAACTGGCCAAAGGTTTTTCATCGGCCCCATGAATATTTGCCTTGTCTTCTTCCTTTAATTGGTCCAGGATAGAAAGATCTCTGTGTTTGATTTCTTTAGGAGTATGAGGACGTTGTTCTTTATCTTTATCTGTCAATTTGTCTTTACGTTTTGTTTTCAAAAAATTACTGCTGCCAAGAGGTGCCTCCATTAGAAATAATGAATCCGTCTGTTTGGCGTCTTTAACGCCCTCCATTAATTTTAAAGGAGGTGTCAACTGTTTTTCAACTTTCTCGACTTTCGGCTCGATGGTAGTTTTCAGGAAGAGCGGTTTTTCAAGAATAGCTGGTCTTAACAAAGGCACACTGCCAAATGTTACATTCTCGGTTAAAGGATTAGCCTTCAAATTAATTTTCAATGGATCTGTAGTGCACCCGCTGGTTTCTAATAAAGGCTTCCATTTAATCGCGCTGGTAGGTGCAGACAATAGTTTCGTGGGATGTACATCTACATCCAAATCACGTCGCAATTTCGTATCGGCCGAATTTTTCATTAAACTATTATTGATTAGGGGAAGAACGGCATTTAAGCGTACTTTGGGTAATTGTAACGTTTGTAGACATTTCTTTAGCCAACAATAACCACAACGCTCCTTGTAGACTTTCTTAAAATTTTTCACATGTCCAGCTTTCAATGGCGGCACGATCGAACAATTGCCTAAAGAAGCCGAAAAGAAATTATGCAAATTTGAATACTTTTTTTCAACTATAGTTTTTAACACTCACCATCAGCCTTGCATTGCACCGGGGTTATTTTCATCACAGGAGAGTTCTTCATGGCAAGCGATTTTTTAGCAATTTTCGATATAAATTTACGGCAATATTCACAGGATAATTCGCCATATTTAGTGGCTTGTGGTAAGCTTTTTGAATGTATACTAGTAGAACAAACCGCACAGAGCATACTTTGATTAACCGAAGCAGAATTATCTTTAAGGAAAATGAATATAAATTAAAAATATGTGTATATTTATGTAAAAAAAAAGAGAAAGAGAGAGAGAGGGAGCGTTAAAAGCGAGATAAACATACTTGTCTGAGCATTTTGCAGTAAGGAACTGGAGCCATTCAATGAGGAAAATGTGGGCGACAATAATGCTGCAGTTGATGCGGGCGTTCCCGCAGATGATGATATAGCTTGTGTTAGGGATTTCGGTAATGAAGCTGATAATGCCAAAGCTGCTGCAGCGTTCACGGATTGTGTTATATGATTGCGTTCACCCGTATTCGCACAAATGGAATCAAATTGTAAACGAGGTTGACGTAGAACAAAACTATTAGCTTTAAGGCCGCTAACAGAGAAATGCGAAAACATATTCGTTGTATTAAAAGCAGCCGATGACGTTTGTTCTTTACCGGATTTTAATACTGAAAGAAGAAGAGGGAACACGACGAAATACAAATTAAAAAGGAAACCAACATTTTTCCAATTCAATATCATGCAAGTTAAATAAGACTTACTGCAATTTCCAACACTGCTGCCTTCCTTGGATTTATAATCTCTCAATCCGAAATAATTTGTGTTAGCCTTGGTTTCCTTCGAGTTAAGATTATTGCTAAAACTTTTCAAAGAACTTTTCTTGCAAATGATGCCATCCTCGATAAGTCGTTTATTTGGTTTGATTACTCTCGATGAACGTGTGCTACGCTTAGGTAATACGAAATGTTTATCAACTATTAATTGGGGTCCGTCGTCCTCGTCCTCGTCCTCGTCTGCTTCATTACTTTTTCCCACACTTTTACGGTCCTTTTGCGCTTCTTCATCATTTTCCAATTTGCGTTTCTCTTTCGTGTTTTCTTTTTGTTCTATTCGTTGTTGCTCAATTTCCCCTTTCCCGGAGTGATCTAATTCTATATCGCCTTTTTGCTCTTCGTTAACATTATCGCCATCGCCATCGCCATCACCATCACCATCATCATCGTCATCATCATCGTCGTCATCGTCCTCCTCCTCCTCCTCATCATCATCATCATCGTCACTGTAATCTTTTGTTATTCTAAAATTGATTAAGTTTTGTTTGTATGCGTCTTCCTCCTCCTCATCGATACTGGGTGCACCGAATAAACGCAGTATAGGTCCAGTTAATATCGAAGACGTTAACGGCTCGCCATCATCTGCGATTTTCTCACTGGTAACGTTGGCATGTGTACGAAATTTAAGCGTATTATTATATTTATCAATGTTTGAGTTGTTATTTTTGAGTATCTCCGTTAGGCGCGATGGCCTCACTATGCAATCACTGCTGCGTAAATCTTTTTTAATAATAGATACCAAAGGTTTACGATTATCAGGATTATAGCATTTTTTTACTACACTTTTGTCATCACTAGTTTCGAGAACATTTTTAAACGTGACAGTTTTCTTTTGCTTTTTATCCAAAGACGACGCTAACGATGATGACGACGACGATGACAGCGATGACGTGGATGCAACTGACGTTATTGAAGCGGATGATGAAATCGAAGGCGATGTTGTTAATGCTAACGATGATGATGATGATAATGATGACGATGATGATGAACAAGAGGAGGATAGTGATGCTATTAAACTACCATTTGTGGTATTGTTATCCATTACTGTTGTTATTGTTGTTGTTGTTGTTGTCGTTGTTGATGTTGCTTTTGTTATTGTTGTTGTTGTTGTTGCCGTTGCTGTATCAGAACTATTGTTGTTTTTTTTGTCTTCATTTGGAACTAAGGAATCCACGTTAACCACAGAGTCGACGGTTGAATTTTTTTTAGGTGTTTTCTGAAAAATTAAATTGCAAATGTACATAAGTTGTGAAAAGCAAGATAACAACTGCAAAAGCACTGCATTCATTTCTAAACAATCTACGGACAAAATCCTCCTCAATGGGATGACAAATTAAAAATGGTCATGCACACATAGAGAGGTATACGATCTATTCATAAGCATCCCCTTATGTTTTTTTTTTTTTTTTTTTTTTTGAGGTTTTATCACGACATGGATTCCATTGTCATATAGGGATCAATTGTTGCAAATCGTTTACATAAGAAAAAAAAACATCTAATGTCGTCCTAAAACCTAAAATATTTCCGTTTATACGAACGAATGACTGATTACGTCCTGCGCAAGTAGGAATTGCTAGGTTGGTCTGAAATTTGACCGGCTTGAACAACTAAAATCAAAAAGACGTTATACACTAGTTAAGTTGAAGTCGATTAATGGGACGATTTTCATCACAAAATCATTTCGCACGGTAAAGGGCGTTACTCGATGATAGGAAATGTCAATGGCCTTTTTTTTTCTTTTTCAAAGAACGGAAAAACGTTTTGTCCATGCTAAAATGAGAACTAGCTCGTTACATGAAGTCGATTTCCATCTCTTAACTCTTGATAAGACGCGCTCCCGGAATTGAAAGCCCCCAACAGAAAATCAAAATATCGATTGCTAGGATAATGTCTTGCCTTCAAACTCGTGCCATATCCTCTTTTTAAAGAAGATTGTTATTTTGAATCTTCTGAACTTGTGTACATGATCCTTAATGATTGCAATTGAGGACAAGGCGAGTTCTTTAAAAAGGCACGTATTCAAAATACGTTTAAGGAAGCCAACAGAATGAAATGTATTTCATGCTGATGTGCTTTTATGCTATAGCAGTAGAGCCATTGTTAGGAGATGTGCGCACCTGGCGCCGTTCTGCTAAAAAACACACATCATCCACTTCTGTAGCGTAAAGTTTAGGCCAAAGGATGCCTGTTGTAAACATTCTCCTGGCCGCAGAAACGAAACTATCGAAAGAGACAATGCAAGCGGACCGGTCGAAGGTCATACCTAGAATAGCAGATAAATCTACGAAAAGTTGAACGTATAATGGCGTAGACGATGCCGCAGCACGGGTACAAAAATCGTGTAAAAGTTGGCTTCCTTTATAACACCACGCAGAAGCAAGCTGCAAAAATCCCATAAAGCATATAAATTCTTGAACCGTTTCAAATTTGGAATGCACCTAAGCGTGTCCGTCTTTTCGTGTGTCCCTCTGTCCGCTTTCCCTAACTGTGTACTATCTGTGGTAAGAATTCTGCAAAAGGATTCGAAAATGCTCCCGAACCCAATTTTATGGAGTACGAAAATTTAATTCGTTCCCTTCCTAGACATCATTTTTTTTTTCTTCTTTTCTTATTAATTCTTTATCTTATTCATGCACATTGAGCATTCCATGAGGAAATGGACATTAATATATAAATGTATCTTAATTTTTATACCTCTCTCAGTCGATAGTTCACAAAATGGCGCAAAATTGAAAATGATACCCCCCCCCCCCCCCCTTTTACCTCCCGGAAAAATTGTTTTTTCTTTCATATTTTAATTTAGCAATCCCTTGACTTTTTAATCAAATTGTACTTAATAGACGCTTCTGCATTGCTAATCCTATGTCGTGGTGGGTATAAAATAAAAAAAACGATAATAAAAAAAGAGAAAAAAGTTTCATAAAAACCGGCACTGGTTAGTTGCTTGGATGGAAGACTTGTTGTGTGCCGCGGCTATTACATAATAACTATAGTATGCCTACCTACCTAACCTCTTGCATACTCTGTTACATACTAATGCAGATGAATGCACTTATAGCGTACAGAAGCCATAATTAGTTTTTCATTCATTAACACACGATACAAAAATATATAAATAATTATTCATCAACATGAAGTTACGAAGACTCTACCCTTCAACGCTTCTTCTCCTAATTAAACACTGCTGTTGTTGCTGCTGCTGCTGCTGCTGCTGCTGACCTTCAACTCATCGAAAGAAACGCAATAACCGAAAGAAGAAAAAAAAAAAGCAGAAGAAGAAGAAGAAGAAGAGAAACACTTGCAGAGCAGAGGAACAATTAATAAATTCAGTACAAACGACCCAAAAAAAAAAAAAAAAAAAAAAATAGAAGAGACGAGAATGATATGATTGACTGAGTGTATAAATTACAAGCTAATAGTTGGCCTCTGGTTAGTTTTTATTTAAAACAAAACAAAAAAAAAAGTCTTAAATATTTGTCTGCAGCTAGTTTTCTTTTTAACGCCAATTATAACAACAAATTCCTTTCGGAAAGCCGCCGTATATAGCGTAAAGAGAGAAGTACACAATAAAAAAACACAGGAAGATCATAATCGTGATAATGCACAACAACAACAACAACAACAACAACAAAAGCATTAGCAGGCAATTACAGAGAAGCGAAGAAAAGAAAGAAGAATCGGAAAAAAAAATAAATAAATAAGTATAGCAAGCTAGCTAGGTGGGGAGACACGCATGCATACAAGTGTTTGTGTGTGGGCACACAGCATAATCCTAGTCATAATAAGAGCACAACTACTACGGCCAACAACTGCAATAAAAAGAAATAACAAATCAATTCAGAAAATTATTTAAGTAAAGTCAAGAATTGTACATACACAACAACAACATCAACGGCCGAATCAACAACCATCAAAATACATTAACCAAGTTAACGCGAAAGAAGGAAAATGCTAACTGATTGACTGAGTACAAAAACAAAAGTTGCAAAACTTATTAAAAAGAAATGTGGCAGCGAGAGGTGAAAGAAAAAGAAAAACAAAAAAAAAAAAAAAAAAAAACAAATAAATAAATAACCGTGCCTGTCAGTCAAACAAATAAACCAGCCAGCCAGCCAGCCAGCCAACCAGCCAACGAGCCAATCAGCCAACCAGTCAACCAACCAAGAAGAGCGCAAAAGTGGTCAACAAGCCAGAAAAAATTGACGAAAAAAAAAAGAAGCAAATGCAACTTGAAACTTGAAAACGAAATCAAAGGGGGGAGAAATATATTAAAGACTCAAACATACTTGCACACTTGCATAATAACAAACAAGTAAGTACTCGAAAAGCCGCGTGTACTGCGATGTGCATGTAGTAAAAGGCAGAAAGAAGGAATATACAACAAATGGCATTAAAAATTTTTTTTTTTTTTCTTCTTCTTTTTAATATAACCAAGAAATGGTGCCGATAAAAGGTTAAAACCAAAACCAAAATGAATACACACACACATATGCACACTTGCATGCGCCTTTTTTGAAAACAATTTAACCAAGCAACCAACCAACCAACCAACCAACCAACGAGCCAACCTCTCCAACACTTTAGTTGCAGCATATGCGGGCTGCAATTGAATTCTACGTTTGCGCATACAAAACACGGCTTAGCAATATCGTTTTAGCATTAGGAGAGACAGAATAGAGAAATGAGCAAATGAGAGATAGCAGCCGTGATATGGTGGAACGACAGACAAAAATGAATTAAATAATGAAACAAATATATAAAGTCATGTTCACCTTAGGCAAGTATCTTCGAACACTTCGAGCACTATTCTTAAGCGAACATAGGTCATTTTAATTACCATTTGCTTCGTTTGTGAGGTTATGTCATCAAATCGTGACGTTTTTCCCCCAAATTCATCCAAACCTTTTCAATCAATTTCATTAAAGCACATGTATTCGATTTTAGTCTATGGCTTCTTGAATTTTTAATCGAAAAACTTAATCGCGACTAATTTTCACAATTCGCCAATAGTTCGGCAGAAAGCGGAACAAATAGTGGACAAAAGAGGCCAAGTAAGAGCTATATGATGCATGCAACAAATCTTCCCAGCCAAGAATGGCCAACTTTTGCGACACATTACAGATGTGAGTGGTGATGGCTCTGTGGTGATGGATGACAACGTTTTCAATTAACGTTTCACCCCAATGAGCTTCTTAATCGCACATTACTTGCTCCCCATTCAAAGCTGAATCAATCGTTTCCAAAATATGAGCGGTCCACATTTCTTTGTGATAGGCTTTGATAGGATGTTAACCATACCAAATCATATTTAATATTTTAACATTTTTAAAGAGGTCCGAGCCCATCTTCGTGAATCCAAAAATAAATTAAAATCCCAATTTTAAAATTTTGGGTGGATAGATGCAAGTATGCATTTAGTTTGCACGCAGGTCCATCTCCTTTTATATCGATTGTTTGTCCGTCCGTCCGTCCGTCCGTCCATCTGTTTTCTTGTGTACAACTAAACATCTCCATTTTTAAATTATTTTTATGAAATTTGTTTGGATCCGTTCCCTTATAATTCCTTCCGTTTTTATTTGCTTCTTCAATTTAAGGTGTAATTTAATCAAGTAACGAAGAAGTGTGGCCAGAAAATCTCACAGAATTTTATGGAGCTAACGTCTTACCTCGCGTTTCGATTAAAATTTTAAGCAGAAATGAATCTTTGGCTGAAGATTTATTGATCTTCGAAGTTACTGCGCGCGGGCGGCAGGTAGGTGGACTCCTAGGCTAGTCTTTAATCGATTAATCGACATGAATAGCCGATTAGGTCAACGTACCGACTACTAAGTTAATTTTCGCAGATTAGTTTGCGGTCACCGCCCTTCCCCAACTCTTGCTCTTTCCTCACTTCTTTCTAAACGTCGAACAAGGGACATTCGCTGAGTGATTGGTCGTATTAAAAAAAAAAATGCGGGTTTGGATGGAATTATCTCAACTGTGGATACCTTAGTTGTTTACAACATTTGGATTCGCGCCGCGAGTAAGAATAGCCCCGCTCTTAGCGTCAAACAATTGCTCAATGATGAATGATCCCGGAATGATTTCCTTTCATTCATGATTCTCGCTAGCTATCCGTATATTCTCTGAAAATTTCTTATATGAAACTGTCACGTATCTCCATTCCCTGATGACTTTTTATAGGAAGTTTCAAAGAAACTGAGACGGATTTGAAGTCAAAATGGACAAACCGTGTCTCTTACAAAATAATATAGACCCGAAACGAAGTACGATTACTTCATGGAAAAGTTTTCTACACAATTAAAGTTTTCCAATTCAGCTTATATAATAAAACCGTTCCGATGCGAATAGCAGTCCAGCCTAGGGCAATGAATTGAAACAACTGTAGACATATAAAGTGAAAAATGTACACAACAATCAAAACGATACACATAATTGACTATTCATGCAAATATTTATGCAAACGTTTGTGCAAATATTTTACACTTACCGACTCACTGTGATTGTTAAGGTTGTTGTTGTCGCTATAAGGTGCTTCATCATTACCATTGCTATCATGATTATTATTATCAGCGTCGTTCTCATTATCGCCAATAATATTCTTTTCGTCAGTCTGTTGAGCATTATGACGATGTGCGTCGTTTTCATCGTCATCTTCATCAACTCCAACGTCAGTTTGATGGTCATCTTTAGTTTTGTTATTGTGGTTAACAATATTTCCTGCTGCGGTATTAACAGCGGCAGAACTAGTCGATGAAGAAAATGATGAAGTCGTTGTTGACGATTGTTGTTGTTCTTGCTTTTGTTGTAACTGGTTGACAGGAGGTTCGGGTAACAATGGTTTTGAAGAATTTTGCCGCTGTTGTTGTTGCTGCTGCTGCTGCTGCTGCTGCTGTTGAGAACTGGTTGCAACTGAGGTGGCTGTTGTTGATACTTGGGCGGGAGTTGTATTACATAGTTTTTGCTGTTGTTGTAATCTTAATTTAGACGAGGAAGGCAGCATAACCTCTGGTTTATGTATTTTAAGGTTTTTAAATTTTTTACAACTACGTCTCACAGGGGTAACCACAAATGCTGCAGTTAATGGTAAAGATTTCTTGAAAGACGAACTCACTGTCGCCTTCGCTCTTTTTTCACCCTCATCGTTCTCATCTTCATCATCTTCGTCTTCATCGTCTTCGTCTTCATCTTCATCGTCTTCATCTTCATCGTCTTCCTCATCTTCTTCACCGCTTTCCGTATCTTCGATATCGGCGAGCGGTATATTCGAGAAATCATTAGGATTAGCAATTGATTCTGAAGTTTTGTTAACGCCCGCATTGGTATTATTACCATTGCCGCCGCCGCCCCCACCACCACCAGCAGCAGCGCTACCACTGGAACCATTTACATTTTGTGTGGAATCTTTAGCATGATTGTTATCACTTTTGCGATTGCGATTATGTTCAGAGGAGGAACTTGAACCGGAAGATCTGGAACCATTTGTTGCACTGCCTCCTGCTGTTCCTGCGGACCCACCAACGCCTCCGCCACCCCCGCTACCATCGTCACCGTCTTCACGTTTACCATTTTTATTTTTATGATGGCTTCCCGACGACGTCGATGACGAAGATGTACCACCACCACCAGCTACCGTTAACGTTGTTTCTTGATCTTCATTCGGTTGTATTTGTAAAACACTGATACGTTTACGATTAATCGATTTCGAGGGTTTCCCCGGAAACTTGGAACGGCCCATACTCGCTTATGTTTTGCATTGGCGCGTAATTTTGCACTGACACTACAATAAAAAGCAACGAAACACAAATTTTCTTATCAAGAACGTTTCGCACTTTGACGCACAATATAAACGCATATTAATACAACAACAATAACATTGAGAACACACTAAAAGAAATTTCAAAATAAAATAAAAAAAAAAAAAACACATAAGCAAAAGATCAAACAAGAAGTTATGCTGCTCTTTTTTTTTTTGATCGTTGAATTCCTTTCAAGCATACGCTAACACTTTTCTTGTTCTTTTGCTTCTTAAATTATCGCCTACATAGATAGCTCTGCGTCTTTAGCGCACTACACATTATTTACTATTGTTTATTAATTCTCTAGGGTGTACAATCAGGAATTCACTTTGAAGTGGGAACTATTTTTGTCGTTTTTTTTTTTTTTTTTTTTTTTTGTCTTTTTGCTTTTGAGTTAGTTAGTGAAGAGGCCGTTTTAGAGATAAATTTGATTTTAAATAAAAATTTCACTTTCTCTTTCTCGCTCTCCCTCACCCTCTCTCTTTCTTTATTTCTCCATCTCCCTTTTTCTCTTGACGATTTTTTTTTTATTAAAATCAACAAATTTCTTGAACCACAGCTTTATAGCGAGCATTACAAGTATGGTACGTTCTAGCCTCCTCTGGTTGTTAGAAGTAGTACCGAAAAAAAAAAAAAAACAAAAAAAAAAAATATATATATAAGAAATTAAAAATTTAAGGGAAATTTATTTAGAGAGCATCTGCTGCGGTTTATGTTTACACACTAGCTTTTCTTTTTGCACATTAGTTTTCTTATATGTTTGCTATACGTAGCGTAACCGCCACAACCAACTCAGCCACTTTAACAACTACTGCCATAGACAACAATACAACTCGTTTACAAAAGTGTCCCGTACGAAAGCACCTTTGCAACAAACTCTCAATTGTCCCATTCTCACTCTCTCTCTCTCTCTCTCTCTCTTCATTTTTTGCTGTTTTTTTTTTTTTGTTTTCTTTAACGCTTTATTGTTGTATAAATATTTTACAACATTGGTCGCAAATCTGTGCTCCTTCGCCAATTTGCCAGTGATGAGGTCAAGTCAAGCCTTTAAATTCAAGTAACTGGCATGCACACGAAAGCAATTTGCTATGAATTTTAAATACTAAGGTGCGACTACATGGCTGACATTCTTAAAGATAGAGAAAGATTAAGAATTTCTTGATAGTGGATGAAGGTCTTGCATCTAAAAAACATTAAAGTTTTATTGTGTAAAGTTCGCTCCCAATTTTCTTACAGAAAAGCGTAATTACTCGATAATATTTTGATAATATATGCACGCTCTCGCTCTACACCTTTTTCTCTTAAGATTAAAATGAAAAATTTATTCGTTTATTTCTACTGAAGTTTAATAATTAATTATTATTGTTATTATTATTATTATTATTCTTAATTTCGCCAGAGAAATAAATTCTAAGACTAAACTCTTAAAATCACTAGCATCTAGGGCTATCGGCTTTTATTAAAAACTCTACCGCACTTGAGATTCGAACCCACGACCATTGACTTGCTAGTCGAGATTCCTCGCCTTCGGCTATTCAGGCGGATAATAATTAGTAAATATTCAATAACTGTTATGATATTTATTGTGAAGCATGAAATGTTTTCTCAATAACTCTCTTCGGTGATACGAAAGTTTTTCTCCATCAGGCTAAGAATGGGCTCGATTGTTTCAAAAAACCGTCGCAATTTGTTGAATACCAATGTATTCCTCCGAGCTCGTGCCAGTGCAGTTCTACACGTTTACAGTTATTTTATGTCCGCATTTCCTCTTCAGTTTTATTATTTACTTTATTACTATCTCTTCTACGACATCAAGTCGGCATGTGGATACTAAAAGCTTGCATATCTGCTCGTGACGATGACCCCAGTAAGAAAGATTTTACAAATCGACTTTCCGTCGTACGTAATCAGCTGTGTTCTGCATCTGTAACATTGCATGACATTTAACTACCCAAAGTTTTAATAAAAATTCATAGGGTCATAACGTATTCCCATGCACACTTCTACCACATAAATACTTAGTCGGAATGGTATGAGATCAAACTGCTTCAAATCTCCCATGTATGGTAGGAGGAATAGTAAGTAATTCTTAGTTCGAATATTGACCGAGCACTCGAATGTCCCATTTAAAGACATAAGACTCTTATTTGTAATGCTATAATATCCTTTAACCTTAGATATATTTACTCTTTTCATTTTTTTGTTTTTAATTTCTAGAGATATTTGGAGAAACCTAAGGTTTATCTATTGTACCTAAAGCAATTACATTTACGACTTAACTGCATTGCAATGAATTTAACAACAGTAACCGATGTTTAAAAGTTTGAGATTTACTGGTTTAGAGCATGAGAGTCCGCAACAGTTATTAAATAACTGAGAAACTTTTTTAATGTATCGAAGCTAAGGTGTTAATGTATTGAATAATAATAATACGAATAACGATGATGATGATGATGATGATGATGAAGATGATGATGATAATTGCACTTCTCTGTGCATTTAAGGCACTCGCTCTCTCTCTCTCTCTCTCTCTAATGATATTTTGGGCTTCTAATGTATTTTATTTTTTCAATTGGTTTGCGATTCAAAGAGAAAGAAATTTGGATGTTTTCGAGTGGCTTTTCAAGCTTTAGCCGTTTGCGTGTGTTTTGTGTGTGTGATATACAATAGAGTAAAACAACTTTTCTTATAATTTTTTTTTTTTTCCATTTTTTCTCTTTACCTTATGTTTGTAGTAAACTTAATAAGTTGTCTTGCTGCTGGTGTTGCTGCTGTTGGCGCTGCTGCTACTGCTACTGCTAGCTTGGAATGAAGATGGATGTAACATTGTTTAGTTTGTTGACTGTTTAGTCAGTTAGGTTCAGATTAAACTTTGATCGTTTTTCTATGAAGCCCAATATATCTAAGCTATCAATGACGTTCTTTCTTCTTTTTTTTTTTTTTTTTTTTTTGGTATCACTATGTCACCGTGCCTAGGATGATGGGTCTTTCGGCGTTATTCACTTTTTCAAAAAAGAAAAATTTTTTTTTGATATTTGTTTTATGGCTTTTGGCGTCTGCATCTTGCACTCTACTTCGTGGTAAAAATTTTAATACGCGAGTTTTACAGATTCCTTCTTTTGTTGTTCGTATTTTTTTACTTTATCGAGACTGATAATTCAATAGGATTGTGCAGCAGGCAGCAGTGTGGACAACAAATTCCCACAAAAATTTGTTTTAAGAGATAAAAGGAAAGACAGAGATATACAAATATATATACATATATATATATATACATATATATTTATAGAGAAAGAGAGAAAAGAAAATAAAACAAAGAGATGCAAAAATTTATTAGTTTTTATTTAATATACGGCATTGCTGTTCGTACTTGCTTTGTTTCTGTTGTTATTGTTGTATTACAATGGTTATGATGAGTGTATGTGCAAGATATGGTTCATTATACTAAATTGATGTAATTGTGTTTGTTTGTTGTTTAAGATTTGTTTGGGAATTTTTTTTTGTTTTTTTTTTTTGTAGAGGGATAGATAGATACTTGTTTTCATTTTGTTTGCTTTTCTCGATCTTTTCTTTATTTATTCCTTGTACTTGCTGAAGGGGGTATTGATAATAATGACATTAAATGATGATAATTATGATACGCTATTGTTTTTCTTGTCTTTTTCTTATGCTACATGCAGCAACAACACAACAACAACAACAACAACAACAACAACAACGACAGTAGCAGCGGCAGCAGCAGGCATTTAAATATGTTCGTGATGACTAAGCTTGAGTCAGTGAAAACCAGTAAAGCGGTTATTTTGTTATTATTGTTTTGGTGGTGCGTGCAAGTTGAAAAGGGGGTGGCATTTTAGGAAGAAAAAAATATTTGTGTATATATCATTTAAAATCAGGGTGACATGCTTTACGAACAAAAACAAAAAAAAAAAAAAAAATTGTGAGAAAAATACAAACAACAACAACATTAACTATAAAAAAATCGTTCATTGTATTGCGGCGCGTACATCGTAAGTGGTTTGAGATATGCATTTCTTTCTGCTTAAGACGAAAAAAAAAAACAAAAAAACTTGCAAATTTTGTTTGTGTGGGCGAGAGGAAGAGAGTAAGTAAGTGAGCGAGTAAGTGAGTGAATGAGTGAGTGTTGTAAGAGAACTCCAAGTTATATATACCAAAACTAAAAAAGAAAATCACAATGGAGTGTGCGAGTGTGTGTGTGTGTGTGAACACAAATAAACACACACCTACAATCGCACTTACAGACATTATAAGACGATATTAATATGCACGAAGAAAAGAAGAATAAAAAATTTTGGGGAAAAGTAAATATAATAAATAATTGATGAAAGCAGAAAACAAGCGCAGAACTTAAGAGTTTCGTTACTCATTAAGTCAAGTAACGAAAAGTGGATTAAAATATTGAAAAATTCCAACATTCAGTCAAGTCGTATATTTAACTACCCTATCCTATCTTCTTTCCATATAAAGAGATACTTTTCGTCGTAGTCCTTAAATTGGAAGCGAGCTGAAAACGCCAATCGGTATGGTTCAAATCTGGCAAAATGAATTTGCTTCTTCTATTCGATCTTATTATTCTTCACGTATTTTTGGCATGAGGCACAATTTACTTACGAAGGTTTATCTTGTTAAGCGCAATCCAAGAGGCAGACCTTCAAAATGCAAATATAGTATAAATAATTTTTATATCAGATTAAAATTGCCGACCAATTTTCATAGTAGAATATTAAAAACGGGACCTTCTTTGGTCTGTTTTGCGCGGAATACAGGATAGACTTTCCAAAAATTGATCTATCCGATCCAAATTTAATATACCAAAAGTACTGTAATCTATCTATTGCCGCCGAGAAGCATTATGAAGCTTGCAATTATTTCTCCTATGAGAGCTGTATATGACAAATGATTATAAAATTTGTCCAACCGCATGCACTTCCAATAAAGGCTGAATGGACCAAATTTCGTG